TTCTCTGTATACATAGTATGCATAGTTTTTGCACTATATTCAAACATTCATAAATCAGTGCATAGACACGCGGTGTACGGGAGGAAAAGCGGCGCATGGGAGCGCCTTACGGGAGCAGCAGGAGACGCATGCGGTCTATGGATCCACGTAGCGTATGCGTGAAGGGGTAACGCCAAGGTAAGGGACCTCTATTGGTTCACGGGGCCCTACTTAATGTGCGTACTGTGCGTATTGGGTGAACCGGTACTGACACTGTATCATGCATTGTGACAGCGTGGGGCCATGTGAAAAAAAATCCACAATAACCAATGGGTTTGGAAAGGCTGGACTGCTGCGTGATGAAGAGGACAGCACATGAGCAAGGGGGAATTTGCCTGGAGACGAAAGTGACGCGGGAGCCGACGTAAATTAAATGACTGTACATGAGTGAAATGACTGTTGAAAAAAAAGATGCTCTGAACCTGCACACGTATGATCTCTGTAAAGTTTAACATGAACCATCTCCAGAACAGACTCACCACTGTCCGACAGAAGCTCCGCATCAGGCACAGAGCGAACTGTTTTTTTCGGCGGGTATTTTATACAGATTAGCCTTGTGGCGTTAGGTTTCGTTTTTGTGCGCAAAGCTGCATTAAATACATTATAATCTCAAACGGGCTGATGTCGTTCTGTAGTAATTATGGTGCTTATGAGGGCCAAATGCTTACATTTGAACCACTTTTAATATCACCATTATCTTACTCGAGGCTGTACTTGAACTGCTGAATAGACAGATCAACTAGCATAACCGCTAGCTACACATCGCACAAGCTAAACAAACTGTCCACGATGCTGTGATGCCTTCATCTTATTTACCCAAATAGTAATGGTCGGCATTGCAAATATATTTTGTAGCAATACTGACTTACTTTTTACTTTACCTTACCCTACCTCCATTTTAAATTTTATTTCTTTGGATTGTCAAATCCAGCTTCCCGTACTTTTTACAGGAAATGACGTAAGCGAACACGTCACCATTCCCTTTTTTCTTGAGATGGGTGTAAATAGAAGAATCGTGTCCATTGAACTATTAACACCCAGGGTGCAAATAGACACTCCGAACAATTTTTGAGTCCAGAAGCATCATTGTTCATCAGAAACACACCTTCTGTCTTTTTCTATACAGACTGATATCAGCCCGGCCAAACATGATCACGCAATAAGATTTGTATTTTGTCAGTGACGCGTGTGAAATGAAGGAGCTCATTGGTCATGCATCATTTATGAATTAGATTGAATTTTTCTCACCTCAGATTAAGAACGTTGATTATGCAAAATTCTGCAAAATTTTTCAGCCCCCTGTGATATTTTTTTTTTCCTTTATATTTTCCAATGAAGACAGACAATGCATGTCCCTGACTAATCCACCTGTCAATCACGCCCATCTGAAAACGGGGACATTCACAGGTAACCATACTCTCATCTTTGTAAGGTACTGAAGAAGTGTCTATTCTGGATCCCAGGCAAACAGTCCATTGGTCCCATAGGGAAATTTATCCTCCGCATTTGACCTATCCTTCCATGGACTACTTAAGCTAGAGGATATTACCTATGTTGTCTTGTTATATTCACACAGCCATTATTGTGTACAAACCGTTCAGACACACAGAGCACATGCACGACTACAGAATGTTAATGAGGTCTTCGCCGAATTGAACAAAAGGTGTATTATCGTAAAGCAGCTAAGGATACATTTAGTGGTTTATCAGTGAGACAACATTTTATGACTGGCATTTATACAGGCTCCCAGACAGAAAGCAGATGGTAGCCGAACGTGCTTACTGTTGGAGATAGAGAAGAGGGAGAGTAAATTTACAAAGAAAATAAAGCGTCATGACGTGAATTATACGCTTTACAATTAAAAATGCATATACAATCTTTTCATGAAAATAGTGCCATCTGGAAGTGTATATACTTATCTATTTTTACACTGTCATTGGATTAATTTTATGAATGGAAACATCATGATTTAGCAATCTTTTGCAAATAAGATTTCACAGTTACACTTTGAACAAACAGGTAAAACACAGTCTTTGTGGTGCTAGTTTAATTGGGAGGAGAGAGAGGAGAGAAGGCACCCGCCATCAGAAATTGCAAGCATGTTACCCCCCCCACCCAGCAATTCTTTAAACAATTTTTGTCCAGTCAAAGATAACACATAGAAAGAAAGTGTGAGAGGAGGGTGACTGCCGCCTGCAGAGGAAAATGGGGAATTTTGTCTTTGTCTGTCATAACAATTTAATCTATATCTCTGAGAGCTGGGAGGAGCAGAAAGTATGATTTTCAGTGCAGTACGGCAAGGCAGTTTCATCAGTTTTATGTCTATCGAGCAAGTTTTATATATTGGGTATTGCAAAGTTGTTTTTTTTTGTTTTTTTTTAGAAAGTCCAAGTATTGACCACAATAAAGCCATGAGTCATCAGTGGGAGCTCTCCGCCTAAGGTCTGTAGTTGCTGGTCTCTATCAATCATCAAAATAAGACGATTTAGTAAAAATATAATATATCTACTAATATCTGGAAGTGATAGTCAATTCAATACTACGCAATACGCCATGAATCCTTGGATTTGGAACACTGGACATAGAATATAGTATTTTCTCAGGTCACTATGGTTCTGCTGAAGTGCTACATTTTTGAGCATGAATAGTTAATGTTCTTTTACCACGTTTAGCTCACTCAGTGCATAAGTCCTAGGATGTCCTCGGAGCCCATGATAGTCGATCTAGAATCTATTATGTTGTGGTAAGATATGGATTCTGTCTTCTCCAACATGTTTCTGAATGACAGCACAGACACAGTAATAGCACCAACCATACTTAAATTACATTTGTGGAAATTGTTTTCAGATAAGTAACAATTGCATTATTGTAATTTTCCATTTTTAGTTCTTGACAGTCTTAATTAATTGCTATGTTCTTGCAGTATTGAAGTTGCAAAAAAATTGAAACCAAGATACCAATTGATACTGTAAGTAGATGGATAAATAGGACATAATAAGATATATGCTAGACTTTATAAATTATTTTAATTGATAATACATCTAGTATAAGATGACATGTATAATTTATCAAAATTTTGTTTGAAATGTTGGTATTGTAAATTAACTTATTGTGGTCCCTCCGAATGAATGATGAGTCAGAGTTTAGATGGGTGCACATTTTTTACAGATTGAAGGCATTTATCTTTTGACATTCATATTACTGGTTTTCAATGCAACACAAACATCATAAGCACCAAGCACTGTGAAAATTATACAGAAAAGAATAAACACAAAATACATTTGCATAGCAATGAAATAAAATATGCTAACACATATGCTGCTACTACTTGACACTGAAAATTGTCAAAATATTACAAAAATGTACTAAACAATACTGAACAAAAAATTGGTCACATGTATTTTCAACAATAACAAGTATCTTTCTGAGGGCTGCAAGCTGTTATTTTCAGTGATTTTAACAACGTTCAGGGTTGTTTTTGTGTGGTGACAGCCATAATGCATTTTTACAGCAAGCGTTGAGAGCAGTACTGAACTTCCTGTGAAATGTAGAGGAACTGGTTAGGTGAGAGCGCCCTCTACAGACAGTTACATAACTAATTGATTTATTGGATGACTGATGTGTCTGCACAATAGAAGGGTCTCTTAAGTTGGTCCACATCCCCAATTGAAGAGATCCAGTTTTCATCTCAGAACAGCAAAGTGGCTGAGAGATCCGCACACAGTTTCTTTGGCAGATGTTCTAAGAAGGCCCTTTCTGCTTCAGTCAGCATTAGTGTGTGTACATGTGTGCTACTGCTCAGTCTTAAGTGGAGCATCTCTAAAATGATTTCCCAGGTCGTTAAGTGATGTAATTGCCATCACCTCATTCACCCACAACATAAACACACACAATTTCTATTCAGTTTTTGTGTCTTCTCCAGCTGAGAACACTGAATTGTGATCAAATATGTGGCGTATTCTAAGTTTATGTGTCCTCCATCGCACGCACAGGTCAATACATAAAAAGGCTTAACTCTCTTTTTGCTGCTGATCCAGGCCAGTGACCAGCTGGGGCAGCACATGTTGAAACAGTGTGAGGAGGAAATTCTAACAACATGTAACTGTGCAGCAGCCTCTCTGGTGCTGTGCTGCTGTTTTCAGGGTCAAGAAGCATGTTTCAGGTAGTTTGCACATCATACTCCCCACTACATTTTGACATGCCTAGTCTAGTCAAATTTAAGAAATGTTTTCTGTAGCTAGGATAAAAGCATATTTTAACATGCTGAAATGTCAAGGTTTGCATTAGTAACACAGAATCCACAAAAAAATTGGGCTGTCAGAAAAGTCAGTTAGTAGTACTGCCATGATGTTTTGATAAAATAATATTTTTTGATGATAATATTGAATAAACTATTATTAGCCTTTATTGTGTTGAAATTTCCATTCACTCAAAAGTGTTTTTATTATGAATATATAGTATAGAAATCCATACTGAGTCTTGCTTAGTATTGAAATCAAGTTTGACATTTTCAGATGGGACAACACCATCCTTATTGCACTAATGGCACTATTTAAGTCTTGTCTGATTGCTGCTGGATGTGAAACCATTGCAAATAAAGTGGTCCTATAGGTCGTCAGTTGTTAGAAGAGCTAATCAAAAGCTCCCGTTTCACACATATAATTCTGCTACAAAATGTCACCCGTGTCCTTTCGGTTCACACCTCTCGGTTTAATCAAACAATGGAAATCACCCTAATCAGATACCTGAGGCTAGAAATGTATTCTTTATAAGATGAACGGGTCTGACTATTGAGAGAGTGATTTTTAATCCCAAGCGTGTCTTTTTAACATTTAATACCTTGACTGTTTTACGAACTCTCAATCACTCTTCATGCTGTTCTTTCTAAAAGCCAATTATAATAGTTATAGTTCCCATGGCAGGGATATGGAGTTTCTGATGCCCTCTTTGTTGTCTTGCAGGATCCCTCCTAACATCAGAGACATAGTATATTGTACAGGGGTCAGCCTGATGGACGAGGATGTATGGGAGTTTATCTGGATGAAGTTTCACTCGTCTGGAGCTGTGTCTGAGAAGAAGATCCTCCTGGAGGCTCTGACCTGCTCAGACAACACCTTCCTCCTCAACAGGTACAAAACATGGGTTAATGCAAGATGCTGTGTCTGCAGTGTATGGTGTATTGTATGTTTCAGATGACAACAACATCCTTAATGATATTTAATACAGACAAGCAAGCATATAAACTTATATGCAAATGAAGGGATGTAAATGTGATGATATTTGGTGTTTACACAATTTAAATGGTGGAAACATAGTTATATATTTGTAGATAAAGTGAGGGTGAGTTGATGTTGTCTGCCTTTGATTAGCCTAAAAGCCTCTTCCATCTGTGACAGGCACTCCCAATGGGATTAATATGATAAAAATAACTGTTATATGCAAGCATTCTACTCTTTCATGTATCACAAAGGGGCAAACTGGTTTGAGGCCCACAATGAACAGATATGAACCCTGCAACTTATTTGATTTTGGAAAGTGTGTGACCCATCTTATAAAGCCATTGTCGCATCATGTCCAATTTCTCACATAAATACAGGTTTTAAAAACATCTACATTTCTTCTACAAAACTACAACCACAGTTTCCAATGTTCATGACTGTTGGAAAATGCTGTAATTATACCCACTATAGCTACATTATACCACTGGCTTATTTATTTGGCTCCAAGTCTTGTCCTCATTTTAACCTTAGAGCTATGGTGAACACTATATAAATGTTGAATGGTAGATGAGTGACAGGTGTATATAATAAATGTGCTGAAACACATTGCAAATTAAAGTGTGGCTGCAGTCAAAATGTTGCCTCAGGCTGTACATTGGCATCACTGCAGCCCCAAATGTGTAGTGTGGAATAAGCACTTAGGCACTTACATAATTGGGACAAGAATCCACATTGACTGGTCATTTTAGGTGTACCCATGTGCCTGTTAAAGCAAACAGCTAAGCGTATAATCACATCGCAGAAACTCTTAAAAATATTACAACCTACATCAGCTCCAGTCAAGCATCTGTGAATGAAGGGTAATAGGGAAACACTTTGTAATAACAATTTTAATTAGCCTTTAAAAAGCATGAACAAAGACATACATAAAGTCACAAAGTCATAATAAACAAATAGTTTGTTAAAATGAATCACTCTTAGTAATTGAGGTATTAGGAGTATTTAAATAATTCATCTTTTAATCCTGAATCATTATTGATAAAGTTTTTGACATTATGGATTAAGTGTTTGTTCATGCTTTATTAAGGCTAATAAAAGTGTTATTATAAAGTGTTACCAGGCAACACATTTAGGCATGAGGTGGATGCCTAATAAAATGGCCTGCCATTTTTCATACTCCATAGTAGTATCTGTCTGTATTTATATCATATGAACATCTGTTAACCTAGCCACTGTTGCCCTTTGAGGTGCAGGTTAGGTGAGGATGCGCTTTGATCGGGGTCTATTTTATCACCAGCTAAGTGCTCGCTATCTCTTATTGAGCAAAAAGTAGGGGATAGATGTCTGGTGAGCTCAAACAGTGAGACCGATCTGTGCACCTCGCCTAGAAAGAGCAAGATGCTATCGATTTTGCAACCCCAGTAAACTGCCCTGCAATGTGAGGGCTGCTGCATGTTCAGATAGCTGTTATCACATACCTGCACGTACGCACACACAAATCAAAGAGCATGCCGCCAAACACTGATTGGTCACACAGGAAATGGTTTCAGCACAGAAGGATTGTGGGAAAAGAGAGAAAATTGATTTGGGGGTCTAATGAAAAGACAGGGGCAACAAACAGCACAGTCTTGCACACATCAGAAGGGCACACAAATGGAGAAATGTTTCCATTCCTTATCATTTAAAGGTGTTTTCTATTTCACTCACATCTTAAAACTTAGCTTTAACTAGTTTAAGTTAAACTATTTAAAGTTTAACTTAAGCTGACTGCTTCTGAGTTACATGTCCAGCAAAAACAGATAACTTAAATAAATAATCAGATTACCCCAAAGGTAAATTTTTGCTGTGTCTACATAAACACCTTGTTTATCAATCAAGACAAAGTGCAATGGACGTTCTCTTTCATTTGTGTATTTGCTACATTATTTTGCACTTTGTGTATATTTTGGTGTGAACAATCAGATAGAAATCACACCGGAGGGATCTGTTCACATGACATTTCAATAATCTGATAACTCCAGATAATGATTCGATTTTTAGTAACAGCCATTATTGCAGCACAAACGTGATCATGTGTAATTTGTCCGTTGCCTAGGTTACTGAACCTGTCCCTGAGCTCTGACCTGGTCCCGGAGCAGGATGTGATTGATGTGATTATCCACGTGGGCAGAAACCCTCAGGGACGTGATCTGGCCTGGAAATACTTCAGGGAAAAGTGGGACATCCTGAATGCACGGTCAGACAAGTGTTTACTGTAATCACACATCAGTCAAATACACTTTAAGACTGTAATGTTATGACCGGATTGTTTAGATATGGAGAGGCTTTGTTCATGAACTCAAAGCTGATTGGTGGAGTAACGGAGTTTCTCAACACAGAGAAGGAACTAAATGAGGTAAACATCTGGTTAATATAAATCATGTTTTTGACTTTTTTATTGTTTAAATGTATTCAATCTTTGCCAATAGATTTTTTCTTTTTCTCAGTTCTCTGTGTTGTTTTATCACATTTTATTTCATTTAAATTCTGCGTAATCACAGTTATAGGCTCAGACAAAGTTGGAAACAACAACAACCACATGCATAACAAATGCCAGCACATTATTGCTCCAGGCTCACGGTAAATTTTCTTGTTGACCTGTATTAAAAATTGCCTTATCTTGAGTAATTTTTTTAAAACAAAAATGTATAAATTCTTTATAAAGATGATGGTGGTCATACAGAAAGAATGAGACAGGGAGTGTGACAAGGCTGGAGAAAAGTGAAGTTATAACAATATGAAGAGTATGAAAGTGAGTTGAAGAGATGGATTTTCTCTTTCGCTCCACTGAAGCTGACAAACTTGGAGCTGAAGTTTCCTCATAATTCTCCCCAACAAAGTTTATCCAGCCCCACGAAGTTTCTTTTAATACCTCACCTCACACGACTGCAGCTGTAAAGACGCCATTTAAGACAAAGTTGGCTTTAATAACTTACAGATATAAACTCTGAAACTTTAGGATTGATGTTGAATCTTGTGATCCCCTGTAGGTACATGGCAGCATTCACAATGAATCATTTGCAAAAGAAATGCGAAGTCTGTTATGTAACTTCAATAGCTCATTTTCTCTCACGGTACAAAACAGGGCTATAAAATGGACAATGGAAAATTATATAAGATGGATGACTTGGGTTAAATGGGGTATAATTACAACAGTGGTCAATATAAGTACATTTTGTTTGTTATGCAGTAGTAGCCTAATAGCAAACAAGAAGTCATTTTCATATTAACCATAAAATGTACTATTATTACTTTAAGTTAGGGATGCACTGATCCAGCCTTTTCATTCCCAATATTTCTGTTACTGACATTGATACTTTGACTTTAAAGGTTGTATAGAGGATTTTCCAAGGAACGAGAAATCCAGCGACTGTTTGTCCTTTTTCAAATGTTGCGCATGCGTGAAACCACCCCCCCCTCCCCTACAGCTCCCTACGTAGAAACGCCTCCTCCCGCCTCCTCTTTACGCCAGAAACAGGTTTGTTTACAGCCGGTGCGCTGCACATGATTTGTAAACAACTAACTACAGTGTTGGTTAGGCAAGGCGGAGAAGTGAGGAGCGGGGGGAGGGGGTGTGCGGACATTTCGTTCGCGGACGAGAAGTGAGGAGCAGGGAGAAGAGCGGAACAGGGAGAGAAGAGAGGAGAGAGGAGAGGGGAGCGGAGATTCCGTGCCTGGAGAAGTGAGGAGCAGGGGGAAGAGCGGAACGGGCAGCGGGGACAGGAGTAGGAAGGGATGCAGAGAAGGTTGCACGGAGATTCAGTGCGAATGAACTAGCTACAACACGCAGCAGCAAGCGGACTCTTTCTTTGCATTGAAAATTACGTTTTCAGACATAGGATATCGCTTTCGTGTCCTGAAAAACGTTTGACTAGCTCTTGGAAATAAAGTACGTAATAAGCAGAAGTTACCTGTCCAGGAATAATTTGGCGACCAATGCGTCAGTCTTTAGACCCTGCGTCTGCTTCAGTCGTGCCATCGCTGGAATGAATCTTCAAGAATCACCTTAGTTTGGCTTCGCTGCTTTTCCCCTTGTCTTCTGCTTTCAGCGACCTCAAAAACGGACTTTCTTTTGTGGTTAACTGCTCCTGGATTCTTGTCTGCCATTGCAACAAACTTTGTGCTAACTGCGAGGAAGATATAGGTCAAAAAAAGCCGCTAAGAACTGTTGCGTTGGTGGAGTAAACAGCGTCTGTGCGGCTTGCGTCTGTGGACTGCGTGACAGGCGTATGTAAACCACGTACCGGCGGCGCGCAGGCAAGTCAGTTACGCTAGAAACGTAGGGAGATTGATTGACAGCCGGTCAGCTAACGAGGCAGTGTCGTTATCTATTGGCAAATGTTTAGCCCCACCACGTCCAGAGTTGATGAATTTTTATTCTGTTTTTTTTGGTCATCATAATTACAAGGCTACTGCATCTCTATAATGCTATCATTGACAATTTGAAACCAAAAAAAATCCTCCATATAACCTTTAAGTATCTCCTAGCACGCCATATTAACTGATACCATTGTAGGAATGGAAAATGGCACTTATTTCCTTAAATCACAGTTAACTTTTTACACAAGAGATTGATGTTATGTAACTGTTATTTATCCTTCAAATCACTACTGAAGAGCTTTGTATGAATAAAAGTTCAAACATTATGAGAGGTTCTAGGCCAAAATCAGCATTGTCGTCTCATTATATACAATTAAAGGCCCAAGCAGGATATCGGCTGAATTAATATTATGGAACCGATACTCAATCCAGTTAGTTTTTCAGTATAGTGCCAATATTTTATACCAGTTTGGGTATTGGTGCATCCCTACTTCAAGTCACTTTTTAAAATATATTTTTACTTAGCTTACTTACTTTACGTAGCACCATGTAACTTTTCTCTCCACAGTGTCTCCATGGAAATGCCTTTGTCTGGAATGATTGTCAATATGGTATTAAACTAAATTATCTTCATGAAGACAAGAAACCAGCAGGCCAGGACAGATCTGTCAAGAGGCGAGACCAATCACAAGAGAATGCATGGTTTTAAATTTTTAGGAAGATATATAAATTATTCTTATATATAACATTCCAGGCAAAAGCAGTAACATATCTATGAATTAAAGCAAATAACTATGCAAGTTAGATAGTGCACCTTTAATTGAACCCTTGGTGTTAAGCTTAATGTCCAGAGGATCCCATTAAACAAAACCTCTCTTGTTTTCCTAGTTAAAAGAGTTCATCCAGAACAGTGGTGTTGGGGCAGGACCTGCGTTGCCGCGGGCGCTGGAGATTGTTGAGGGAAATGTCCGCTGGCATCGTCTTCATCGGCGACAGTTCTACCAGTGGCTCCGAAAACCTCAAAACTCTAATGGCTTTAACGGATAACAAAGACAAGGAAAAAAACATGACTGCTATGTAATGATGAGATGTGAAATAGACGCAGCCATAAAGAAGAAGACAGAGGAGAAACAAAGGATGTGGTTTCACTCTATTTTTTCAGATATCTGTTGAATTGAATTTGTTATAGAATTTCTTATAGTTTTGAAATTGTTTTGAATCAATGGACATGAACTGAACCAAATCACAGCAAGTTTACATATTAAGCTTTTTGGGGGGATTTGAAATTGTTTAGACTGGTTTGTGCAATTCAGGAGCCAGTTTGTATGATAGAAAAGTAGAACCAAATCCATAGTACACTTTTTCAGCCAATTTTATTTTTCCATCAGATTTAGAAAGAATACAAAAGTCGGAATATAACATCATTTACATTTACAATGGTACACAGAAGCTAAATTAACCAATCACATTATGACCAATTATTAATTATTGTGGTAGCCCTAATCACAACTAATTGAGCACTTACTTCCTGCAGTTATTTAAATACTGACAACACATTTTATCATATTGTAATAGAAAATGTTGACTTTCTGTCTTTCATTGATTCAGTGATTCATTGCATTAACACAGTGTAATATGTGGAACAAAATTTTACACAAGCCTGGACAATATACAAAAGTATAAGGGGCAACATCACAAAGAATTTGTCTCAAATAAATAGCACACACAGTATTTTATGGGACTGTATTAACCTCTTAGTGATTTAATATGGATTTGGAACTCTATATTTCAGTATATACATATTAAGAATAATGCCAGCTTACTAATGCCACAATTACTAATTTAGTTTTCTTTTTTTTTCTCATTCTACTCTCCAGATCCTCCTTCATTTGTAGGTGTCTTTGGCTCTGTCCTTGGCCAATCAGAAAGATTTTTACAGCCAAAAATACACAAATTGACGCAGTCATCTTATTAACATAACCAGTTATTATTTTCTTTTTTCCCTGAAAACTTTGAAAAATGACTTGGGCAATTATGCTATGTGGTTCTGGCCAAAACGACAAAAGCAGAATATTCAGAACAGTTGTTGTAGCCCAGAGCATTTTGTTTTGTTTGAATCACATTTTTCTGTTTGTCTCCAGAACAGCTGAAGAGCTGGAACGCAGCTGTGAGCCCCACGATTATTGGTGCACTCTTTGAATCGTAATTGGACAAGTACATTTAGGTCATGAATCAGACCTTGCACATGAGGACGCAATTCTAAGATTGGATAAACACAATTTTGTTTGATCTCCTTCATTCACAATTTCATAATTCTTTGTTACAATGCCGCTAAAATGTGGAAAACCTGAAAGTATGTTTGAAGTGTAATTGTGCATTTCGGTCAAAAATCAGACCTTGCACTTGAGGAAGAAATATGTAATTCTAAGATTGGATACATTTTATTTAATATTTTTCATTCAGGATTTCATAAGTTTTCTTGCTATGTATTTTGTGTATTTGAAGAGAACAATTTACATGTCCAGTAAAGATTTAGCTGGGAGGTAGTTTTCAACATTTAAAGGCAAACGACAACAAACACAGATTGATGTTGACAATACAATACAACCACAGACATAGTTTCAGTTCTACATACAACTTACAGGTAAGGAGAGGATCATTTATTTTATTTATTTTTTACAAACTGAGCTGCTTTTACCAAAACAAGAGTAAAATAAATCTTATTTTTTACCAGGCAGAAATATGGGATATCAAAGGTCTTGTATAGAAAAAATACCCCTGATTTATCAAACCATCTATTAATGTAAAAGCACACTGAAGGGAGAAAAAGCACATTAACCATGACATTTGTGGCCTGCCGTTTGTTCCCAGGCGACGGCACTAGAATGGGTTTTATGGCTGTTGGAAAAATGTGAGTGAGTGTCATTAAACGCAGAGATGGAGCTTTTAAAACGTTCATAAATGATGTGGCTATATATTAGGGTCTTGAGTGGAGAGTTTGATCGGTTGACAAAACTGTACTTTTTTTTTTCTTCGAACTATCTCTGGCCTCTTTCCAGCATGATGAAAATCCACAGTGCGATGGAAAACCTGCAAGTCGGCAAAGCGGCAAATTTCCGGGCAGCGGAGTGAAAAAAGTGATGGATTCATAATTCAGCAGGGATTGTCCTAGAGCCTGGCATACTGTCTTCTTCACTGGATTTGTGGACACAGCAAATGTACATTATAGCAGCCATATACAATTATAAATTGAGGACAGAATACAGCATAAGAGATGTGAACTGGACACGAAATGGAGTCTTGCAAAGAAGATGGATTGTAAAAGAGTGGGCGTCTGCTTTCCCCTTTAGCAATGAAAATGTAAATTACACTGACTGGAATATTATAATGGTCCAGACAACAAAAGAGCTCCTGTTACTTTTACGGTGAGAGACTTTACAAAATAAACTACAAATGGACGTGATGAATCAAAATAATTCTTAAGTGAGTGCTGTGAGTCAGACCTTGTGTCAAATCTTGGTCCAATTGCGCAAAGACTTTTTATTCTGGTATTCTTCCTCTGTTTTTCTGGCTTTGATGTTGATAATTGAGCCATATATGAAGTAATGGGCCTGCCTGCTTCTCTCTTCACTGTGTGTCCTGTGCTGTGTGTGTGTGTGTGAAACAGAGAGTGTGTGCATTTGTGTGTAGTGTATGTGTGTGCATAGTGCGCGTGTGAGTGTGAAAGCAGCAGTGGAGCCAGTTATAACGATTGAATGAGGATAATTATAATCATTGTTATAATGAGCCTTGATGACGGTGGCCGAGTTGTAAATGTAATTGTAAATGATGTGAAAAAAGGCAAATTAATATTATTATGTGCTGATAATGAATACGAATAGTTCTTCCAGGGGGAGAATTTGGCACAACAGACATTTCTCAAAACATGTTAATCAAAAATGTTCTCAAAAGGTCAGTGATTGTTTTATTTTATGGGTAAAGTGCTTATTCATAAAAGGTTGTGACTTAATGAAGTAATTCTGGGACCAAATGTGAATGCAGATGACCTGGGTGTTTACTGTCCTCACTGCTGTGGATTATCTCTTGTGTTTTCAGATGATATTAAAACGGTTAACCTTGTGTGCCATTCATTTTGTTACACATGATGTTACTAATTCAAAAGAAATTAAACATAAAATACTTTTTTATAGACTCCCGTTTGTGATAACTACATAGGTTTGACTTTGGGGATGGGGAAATGGAAATGTTTAGTTAAAATAAAATATTTATCAACAAAACCATCCCAAATGATCAATCAATGCCTCCAGGCAGTTTACATTATTTATTACAGTCATTTTTAATTTGAGTTAACACAAAAATATTACTTCATCAAAGAAATTCCATTAAGAGATTTTGAGCATTTCAGCAGCTCTTTTTCATTTAAACAGTGAAATAACAGTGACAAAGTTATTGTTATCTGATAAAGATAATGCAGCTGTGTGTAAATTATTATGTAATAACTTTTTCCAATGGAATTCCAGCCTCATTCACTTTAGGGGCATTTTTATCAGATTTGAACTTGTTCTAGTGTTGTGTGAAAGTACAGTTTAAAACAGTTTGACTGCACAAAAAACAAGCGTACAATTGTTTTCCCTGATTTTCTAACATAATACAGTTTTGTTTTGTTTTTTCTGTCAGTTTGGCATTTTATAAATCTGGAAAATCTTCTGCACACTTTGCAAAACTATTCACACAAGACAATTCAGAATCCTTAAAAAAATCTACTGTGAAGAAAATGTTAAAGTGGTTAAAACACAAACACAGTCAACAGATTTATAAACCATCATCTAGGCACTGGATGGGGAATGCTCACACACTTTCAGCATAGTGTAGTGTGAGGGAGTCACAGACCTGTAGGATCTGCATCACAGTGTTTTAATGGTTTGAGAGTAAATGTTGTAAATATGTGTAAAATATTACTTAATCATTTAGAGAACTAAAAACAATTTTTAAATCTGTTCTTTTTAGCAGTTGGTAACCGAGCTGTATCTGACTTGGACATCAAAGACTCTGAATGAAAACCTGGTTCTCAAAGGTTTTTGCCACCAAGGTCTTCTGTGTCTGTCTATAAAATCTCTTCCTATTGTGATTCCTGTTCTGTTTTGTCCATTGTCCATTGTGGGAAGAGTGTGCAGTATTTACATACCCAAATTATAGCACATGCAAAATATAATTGCAATCTGTGTTTAAATAGTTTATCATTGTGTTTTAGGTTCTAGTGTTTTGATATAAGAGTTGAAGCTTGAAAATGGATATATACAGGTGTGCCAACATTAACTTTATTTTTACTCCTTCAGTGGCAAGTTTTGAAAATTTGTGATAACATTTAAATGTCAGTGTCAAAGCAATTGAAAAAAATCAATATTATATCATAAAAAAAACAAAAAAAAATTATTTCTCTATCATTACTGTAGGAAAATATGTACACCATTTGAAACTATTTAGAGAGAATTTTAAATGATAGTAATTCATCAGGTTGTGAATAAGGTCCCTTTTTCTGTTTCTTATGGACCACTGATGACACATGATTTGTATAGGTTACCTATCATATTTTCTTGTCTGCTTCTGCATTATAGTTTTTGCCCTCTGTGATCTTGGGGCCGGTGATGATTCCCAGTCTCCATAGAAACAAAAGATTCCCTCCATGAACCTGCAGCTGGTGTCACTGTCAGGTGTGACATCATTCCTGTGATGAATAACTCCACCGTGTGTCCCAGGGTATCATGGGAAATCACTGCACACGCCACGCTTCTCCCTCACTTGTGTGTGTGTGTGTGTGTGCATGTGCGTGTGCATGTGTGTGTACTTTTGCTCGAGATAAATGGAGCTGAGGAAGAATGTGACAGAGAGAAAAATGAGCCAAACTGAACACAGAGAGTGGGAAGATGGAGGAGTGTTTTTATGAATGGGGAGTAGGCTGGGCAGTTTACCCCACAACTAAATTAAATCAGTTCTCACCAAAGAAAAGAAGGTGCACTCCGGGGAAAAATGATAACACAATAAATAAA